AGGTCAGTCTTCCAATGAGGACATGGAGTGCATGTCTAGTCTATGAAAATTAGGTTAAGTTAAGGAGGCGGTCAGTGTAGGAAGGTGGTCAATTATGGATGTTCTGCTATATTTAGTGGGAAGATGAATTAGATGATTACTAAGATTCCATCATTTTAAGACAGATTATTTGAAGACTTGGACAGGTTTTTCTAAGTTTATGATTGCTAAGCAAGGAAAGTAGATGCATTTTGAGATTAAGATAACATAGGTAGAAATGAAACTAAAGGAAAAAGAAAACTATTTGTTCAAGGACTTAAAAAGCAGAGGTATCTATTCAGTATCTGAAAATGATTAGTGATGTTTATCTAATCATAATGTGGGCACAGACTACATTATAATTTATTAGGACCTTTTTATGTGAAGCATTTTACATAGGTTGCCTCATTTAATCCTCAGAACAGGACTGTGAAAGAGGACTGACCCCTATTTTATAGGTAAAAACTAAAGCTCAGAGACATTAACTAGTCCCAGGTAACGAGGCCGGAAAAACCAGGTCTGTGAGATTTGATAGTCCATATTCTTCCTACTGTACTAAGTTATATCCCATTTTTATATGCTTTATGACACTTTGGGGATATTGATGGCCTAGAGAAAAGATGTATCTAATTTTGGAGCACTGTCAATGCATGTTGACTGAATCCTCATCAATTGTTTGGCCAATTCTATCATAGTCAGAGTTCGAACAGAGTGGTCACTGAGGCTGCACGAAATCCTCTAGGAATGAGGATACCTGAGTGAAAAAGCAAGCAGGATGGGGCCCCAAAAGTAAACCCAGAATGTTTCCTGAATAAGGGAAAGAATGAGTAGTTTCGCTGTTTAAATTCAGCTGCACTCAAACATGAACAACGAAGAGGAATTACAGAACCATTATTGTTTCTCTAAATATCTCCTCTAGAATTTTCTAATGGATTTCAGCTTATAATCTTTTCATCAATATGTAAAGTCAGGTTTCATAATAGTCCAAAGAAGATACTCTATTCTGAACTTAAAGGGATAGTGTCATCTGTCCCAAGTTTGCCTGACCACTCTAGCCAGGAAACTTTTTCTTCTGAGCTATCATGACACTTAGTGTCTATGAATTTATGTGGCTTATTTTCCATATAAATATCCTTGATTATCTTTTGAACTGTTCCTATTTTGTCTTCCTCTGGATTGTAAACTCCCTGTTGAGAAACCATGTTCTATGTATCTTTCATCTTCCTAGTGCCCCCTTCACATGGCAAGCACTTGCTATCTGATGACAGATTAAAAAGGAAGATATCATCTGAGAAACTGCAGAAGAGTCAAGTAAAGAAGGTAGCCTAGAAAGATGAGCATCCAGGATAAAGAAGATGAGCTAACATTTAAGTTTGCAAGCTTCTAACCTCACTTAAAAGACTGACGGAGAAATATATACAAACTTGAATTTTGACCCCTTGCCCAAGGTTTTCCCACTTTCCTTTAAGCTTCGATAGCTGTCTTCTTCCCAGACGGTAACCCTCATCTTTAACTGTGCAACCATTCTTTCTACTGAGACTCCTACTTCCACATACCTCCTCTTCCTCCAAGGCTGAGGCCTAAAGTGGGGATTAGATCTTTCAGGAGTGCAGAAAACAGGAAAGGGGCCAGAGTGACATTATTCTGAAGATAGCAGAAGTGCTATGTTTATAGCTGACCCATAAAATGACAGTTTTGTCTAAAAGCCGTTTTCCAGGCCACACCCTCATCAGAAGGTTCATTGTTTCACGGCCACTGACTATACTTCTGATTGGCTGGCACTGCCCTCCCCTCCCCCACCAATCTGAGGAGAGGCTCAGGTTTTAGTTCTCTTGTCCTGTCATGTGGGGCAAGGGTCAGAGATTGATATGACCCCAAAGTAGAGTTTACACAACTCTTTCTTTGACCATGTGGAAGGTGGTTGAAATTAGGCAATAGTTGATAGTTGATTGTCACAGGACTGTCTCCAGAGTAAGAAAACACCTAATTTTAGTCACTATGGTTTGTACCAGGACTATGAAGTTTACCAGTTATGATAAATTTAATGCTCATCTCGTGAGGTTTCTGACTGCTCAAGGGTACAGGTTTAACCAAATTTATCCCAAAGATTACTTGAAATCCAATGTGGCACTAGAGTTTTCTTTATCAAATTTGATACTGAAAAAATATATTTTAAGAGGGTAGAATATTTTCTAACAGCTTAAATCGTGTTTTCATCTTCTAGCTGATTTTTTTTTTTTTTTGAGACAGTCTCAAGCTGTCGCCCTGGGTAGAGTGCTGTGGTGTCATAGCTCACAGCAACTTCAAACTCTTGGGCTTAAGAAATTATCTTGCCTCAGCCTCCCAAGTAGCTGGGACTACAGGCACCCGCCACAATGCCCAGCTATTTTTTTTGGTTACATTAGCGGGCCTGAGCCAGGTTCAAACCCACCAGCTTCAGTGTATGTGGCTGGTGCCCTACCCACGGAGGTATGGGCACCGCCTTCTAGCTGATCATATATCATATATATATCACAACTACAGTGAAAATTTAGGGGCACAAATTTAAAGTCTGAATAAAAAAACTAATTAAAAAAGCAAGCAAATGTTGTTAAATAAAGCCCCACTTGATAATTAAATTTACTATGTGCTTCAAAATGTTGTAAAACACACTGTCTTAAGGGAGGAAAAAAAGTAGTTCATTTAAATTGTTGGTTGAGTAAATTTTCTAGTGTGAGTTGTGGAAACCAGTCTTATAATCAGAATCATACCTCATCTAATTAAACAGTCCTTTCAGAGAGAGAACCAGTCTTAATAAACACTAGTGCTTTCTGCTTCAGTATATAAACAAACAAGTTCCAACAGAAACTTTTGCTTTAGAGAAACCTGGGCTTGGAGGTCAATCCTTGTTAACATTCAACTTTTCATTGTCATTTTATCAAGTTAAACAAAATCTATTTACTATGGGGAAAGAACATCATTCATGTACTTTGGATCAATGTTCCTTTGAAATGAATGCCAAAACACCAAAAAGATTAAGTAATTTATTTCTTACTGAGCATTCTCTACACTGCCTCGTTTTTTTTGCTGTAAACTGTGAAAGCCTTAGGAGTTCTAGTAGTTATTAGCTCAGAAGGTGTGCAGATAGGTTAATACAGTATATCCTTTTTGTAGCAAAATTAAAACTTTCTTAATCTAATAAAAGTATTTTCTGGATCTACCTTCAATGGAGTTCAGTATCCACATTGATAGTAAGGAATTTAGTACATAATTTTTTTTACGTTTTTGAGAGTGGTGGTGAAACTGATCAATAGACTATGTGTTCCAAAGGGCAGTATGAGTTTCTGACAGGATACATATTAGAGTCAATTACTTTTTAAGATTCAAAAATAGGATGGTTTGGGGTAGAAAGAATGCATATGATGATGGTTTGTCAATGAACCAAGAAAGGAGGCCAATGAACCTACCTGTGCCATAATGAATTTGACTGACAAGCGAGGCTTAGAAGACCCATACAGGAAAGAGCAAGTTTTAATGAAGAGTGAAATACCAATTCAACAAATACATTTTAATAAAATTTTTTTGGGTTTATGCATAATGCATGTTTTTTCTAAATCCCTAGCCTAGAAAACACACATGTGCATACACATACCAAACAAATATAACAGTGTGGCTTATGAAAAGAAACAGTAATAGTTCGATTCTTTGGAACCTCTTCACTTTTACCTAGGCCAAATTCTCTAATCCTTTTTCCTCAAAGATGGACTATCGTAAAGGGATAAATGATAAAAAGTGCAAGAGTTTCAATCGCTAATTGATAAATCTTCATTAGTATTATTCAAAAAGTTCTTTTTTGTCTGTCGTGTCTTTAAATTTTGATCTAAGTTGCTTTGTTGATTCATCTGACTACAATTCTAATGAAGACTGGTTTTACTAGCACTTTTAGAAAAAAGCTTAGTACTCCACATTGAAGGCCAAATCAATGTGGAGAAATTGATTTCTTTTTTTTTTGAGTTTTTTTTTCATTTTTCCATACTAATATGAGGGTATAATTTTTAGGTTAGAAGAGCCTAACCCAAGGGGTGTGTTACACACCCTCATGATGTGCACATTAGGTGAGATCCTGCCTCATGCCCTCCCTCCTTCTGTCAAATGTCCTCCCTTCCACCTCCAAACTTGACTATATTAGTGTTTTATTGTTCTCGTGAGCAAGTAATTGTTTATATGTTGATTTCGTATTAGTATGGAGTACATTGGATATTTATTTTTCCATTCTTGTAGTACTTTACTAAGAAGAAGGTATTTCAACTCCATCCAGGTACAATTATTTCTAGTGTGGAATAATCTATGCCCAGTCTCTCCTTACAAAGGGGACAAAGGTCCTGAACATTAACAAAAAGCCTCCTTGGTCTCAGGTACTATGCTAAGCTCTCTCCCTAACTTGTCACAAGTCATAGCATGTAAGTCACAGGTCTGCTGACCCTAGAGCCTTTTCTGCTACATTATAGCAGTTATTGAATGTGATTCAAAAATATACTCACCATAGACAAGGCACTGTGTTAACATATTATCTCAATCTTTACAACAATCCTATTTAAAAATCTGTAGCTGTAAACAAAAATTATACAATATATTAAAAAAAATCATCAAGATTTTTCACAGCAAGTTCAATATTTTAAAATAGTTTGAGGTCATATTGATAGCCATTCCACTACCCATTTCTCACTTGCTTCAATATTTCCTTTCAGTTACAGCTTTTTGGCCATCTTACACTATGTAGGCAGATGATTTAATCTTTAGCATATAGAGTAGTGGTTCTCAACCTTCCTAATGCTGTCTTACAACTAACCTGAATGTATGGGCTTTTAAACATACACACTTTGGTTAACTAGAACAGAAAGAGGCCAGTGGTGTATATGAACAAGTATGATAAACAGTAAATGGTAGAAAAAATATTACTAATATCTATATATAAGTTCTTTTAGTCATATGTAAAGAGAGACTGTTTATTAAAAGTTCACTTTATTTTTCTGTTGAATCAAGCACTAGCTACAAGTTACAGTTAGATTTTTTTGGTGCCTTCCAAATGTCACCATAGTTAACATTGCCTTATCAATCATCAAACAATAAACTAGGTCCCAGTGGTTATGTTCACATCTAGAATGTTCAGGTGATCAGGAATTCTTTTATTGGTTTGCTTTAGCTTTTAGTTCTTGTTTATATCTATAAAAAAAAACAGAAAGAAAAATAATCATCAATAATGATAGATAATATTTATGGCAAGGTGAGAATGGGAAGCATATCTTATTTCTTTTTTTTCCTAGTTGTTTGGTGGTTATATAGTTATAAATATAATCTGTCCAGGGGCTTATAGATATAATACACTGAAAGGAAAGTGACCCAAAGAGTTCATCTGCACCTGGTTTATATTTTAGATAAATAAGATCCCAACTGACAAAATTTTTTTTTTATTTTAGAATCAGAGTCTCACTCTGTTGTCCAGGCTGTAATGCAGTGGCATGATTATAGCTTACCACAACCTCAAACTCCTAGGCTAAAGTGATCCTCTTACCTCAGTCTTCTGAGTAGCTTGAACTATAGGCATGTGCCACCATGCCCAGCTAATATATATATATATATATTTTTGGTAGAGACAGAGTTTCACTCTATTGGCCATGGTAGAGTGCAGTGGCATCACACAGCTCACAGCAACCACCAACTCTTGGGTTAGGTGATCCCCTTGCCTCAGGCTCCTGAGTACCTGAGACCACAGGTACCCCCCATAACACTGACTATTTTTTTGTTGCAGTTTGGCCAGGGCCAGGTTTGAACCCGACATCCTCGGTATATGGGGCTGGCGCCCACTGAGCCACAGGTGCTGCCCATGCCCAGCTAATTTAAAAAATACTTTTACAGACAAGGTCTCATTTGCTATCTTGCCCAGGCTGGTCTCAAACTTAGTTTCAAGTGATCCTCAGGTCTCAGCCTCCTGAGACACTGGGATTACAGGTGTGAACCACTGTGCCTGACTCCCAAGTACCAAAAAAAAAATTTTTTTTTTTTTTTTTTTTTTGAGACAGAGTTTTATTATGTTGCCCTCGGTAGAGTGCTATGGTGTCATAACTCATAGCAACCTCAAACTCTTGGGCTTAAACAATTTTTTTGCTTCAGCCTCCCAAGTAGCTGGGATTATAGATGCCCGTCACAATGCCTGGCTATTTTTTTGTTGTAGTTGTCACTGTTGTTAAGTTGGTCCAGGCCTGGGTGTATATGGCCAGTGCCTGTGTGCTACAGGTGCCAAGCCAGTACCAAAAAAAATTTTTTTTTTTTGAGACACAGCCTCAAGCTGTCCCTCTGGGTAGAGTGCCGTGGCATCACAGCTCACAGCAACCTCCAACTCCTGGGCTCAAACGAGTCTCCTGCCTCAGCCTCCCAAGTAGCTGGGACCACAGGCGCCCGCCACAATGCCCAAATATTTTTTGGCTGCAGCCATCATTGTTGTTTGGTGGACCCGGGATGGATTCGAACCTGCCACCTTAGATGTATGTGGCTGGCGCCTTAGCCACCTGAGCCACAGGTGCCGAGCCCTAAAATTTTTAACAGCCTAAATGACATATAATTTCCCGTGTAAAATTATTATTTTAATGAATATTTTCATTCTTGACCTATACAAAAGTTTGACAAAGTTAGCAAAATGTGGACCTCTAGAATTTTTTACTTTTTACTTACAAAGCACCCTTTCTAAGAATAAAATTAATGGGTAATGGGCTCCTATCTAATCATTAAAAGTAAAATATACTTCTGTGATGGCTACTGGGTTAATCAGGTTTTAAACATTTAAGTTTATTGAAGCTATGGACCATTTTCTCAATTCACAATCCAAAGAAGTAACTAACCACAGAGCCATGGTCTTTCCTTCCTACCACACCCAGGCTTTATTTACTATTCTTCCTAGTTTATAATAGAGAATAGTATAAGCACAAGAAGGAACTTATTCCATGAAGCTAATCATACCCCCTGGAGTTCTCAAAAGATCTTTTTTTTTTTGGCCATGGCTGGGTTTTGAACCTGCCACCTCCAGCATATGGGGCCAGTGCCCTACTCCTTTGAGCCACAGGTGCCACCCCTCAAAAGATCTTGATTTCAAATACTTGATCATATTATAACCATTACTCATTAACAAATAATGTTAAATACTGAGTAAGTTTTTAAAAAAAGTTTCAGTGCTCATGAAACACTTTTCAATGAAACCAATTACTTTACCTATTTCCAATACTACCTAACCATATACTTAACTCCTACTTTATTATATACAATTGAAAGTGAGTAATAAAAGGTTCATGTAGGATATTTTTTAATAAATCATGAATTGTATCTGTTGTCTTAATAAAAGAGACTTTGTGAAAGGGATATCCATCTGAACAATGCACAGTTAGATTAAAACACTAGGTAACATACTGCTTAACTGCTTTTCATTTATTTATCCCCCCCCCCCACACACTTCTCTGCAAATGTTAAATTTCTGCTTTAGGCACATTCCTGTCTTAACATTATTTATGAATTTTTTTCAAAAAAGCACTGCTGCCTGAGTAGCTTCTGAAGCAGATTGTTTCTTATATCCTTCGTAGGCTTACCTCCAAATTCGAAAAAGTTGAGAGGTTCCTGCTGCCCCCACAAAGAAATTAACAGCAAACAGACTCCAGTTTTTGGGAATAATTACAAGTGAGTATCTTGACCAAATAAACCCTGTTGAAACAAAGTATTTTTTTTTTTTTAAAGCACAGGTACTGCTGTAATAACTTACCTAAACATTTATATTTAGTGAAGTAATTACAAAGACTGTGACAACAATAATGTAAGATGAAGGACAAAGAAATGCTATATCCTCAATCTTTAAAAAGTTTCTGTAACTCAGTGCTACACAAAATACTTAATTATTACATTAAGGGGGAATCTTTCTAAGGCAAGCAAATATTAATTATAACTTTTCCCCCCACTTATATCAATGGCAAAAGTCTGAAAAACAAAAATTCAATACTTGTTCCTTCTCTGTTCTCTCCATCCATAATTTAATAACTTCTCAGATATAACACTGTGTTATATCTTCGTGTGTGTGTATGTATGTGCTTCAAACACCCAGATATAATACTGTGTTATGTCCTTTGTGTATGTTTGTGCTTCAAACACTAAACTATTAAATGAACTGATATAAAACAAAAGTAATTTATGTTCTATATTTAGAAGATACTCATTTAGTCTACCTGTAGCCATCAAAACACCAGACTGAGCTGTGCTGAGTTTTTCTGCAGGTCTGGCCATATCAGCCAATCCAGCACCCACCAATCCCTGGGGGAAAAAAAAAAGAAAACATGATCACAACAAAAAGTGACAATGAATTAAAAACTGACTTTTTTTTTTTTTTTTTTTGGAGACAGAGTTTCACTATGTTGCCCTTGGTAGAGTGCCCTAATGTCAGAGCTCACAGCAACCTCAAACTCTTGGGTATAAGAGATTCTCTTGCCTCAGCCTCCCAAGTAGCTAAGATTACAGGCGCCCACCACAATGCCTGGCTATTTTTTGGTTGTAGTTGTCATTGTTGTTCAGCAGGCCTGGGACACGTTCGAAGCCACTAGCTCCAGTGTATGTGGCTGGCACCCTAACCACTGAACTATAGGCACAGAGCCTAAAAACTGATTTTGAGCTAAGTTTTACTTTGCTAATAATTACTAAGCAGGCTTATATATTTGAAAATCAATTTGGGGGGCCTTCGAGTGATACTTATATGTTCTTTTTTTATACATGTTGAAAACCATTGGGAGGGTGTCTGAATGCTGTCTAAGTTCACATATATCGATTCCTCCTTTAATATTTTCTGTCAATGTTATTCTTTTTTAGAAGTGGAATTATTGGAAAAAGTCTGATAATTTTAGGGTTTGGGGAGATCATTTTTCTTTAATGCCAAAGTCATTTCTTTGTCAAATGTTTTTTTTTTTGTTGTTGCAGTTTGGCGGGGGCCAGGTTTGAACCCACGACCCTTGGTATACGGGGCTAGCACCCTACTCACTGAGCCACAGGCGCCGCCCTGTCAAATGTTTTTAACATTTTCTTTTATAGAATCAGCCCACTCATATCCTACCATCAGTATTATTCAGAAAGTTTACTAATAAGTCCTCACTAAAATATCAGTTATGCTAGTTTATTAAAGAATATGTAAGGTGCTTTTCATTAATAAAAATTCAAATCTACACAAAATAAGAGTGAATAGTACAAAAAAGGTCCACATAGTTATCACCCAGAGTCAACAGTTACTGAGATTCTGCCAAACTTGCTTCATTCTCTTCCTCATAACCCCCTTATCTTTAAGTATTATATAGCAAATGTTAGATATGTCATTAGAGAATATATTTTTGAGAAATTATTTTCAGGCTTTTACTGACTTTCTAAAAGAGACTTGTATGGAAAATATACATCAGCAAAGAGTTTTGTTCCTAAATAGAACACACATATATTTATGAATTTATATATACATTTACAACAAGTGCAGATGGTTTTGAATTAATGAATTCAAGATATCAATAATTCTAATTTTAAAAGGGATAAATGGTTAAATACAGGGGCACAATTAGAGGTAAATAATGGCCAATACTACCTTTCTTCTTCTTTTTAATTTTTTTTTTTTTTTGCAGTTCTTGGCCAGGGCCGGGTTTGAACCTACCACCACCTCCGGTATATGGGGCCGGCACCCTATTCCTTTGAGCCACAGTAAAATGAGAATATTAGTATTACCCTTGCAAGAGTGACATAATGACCAAATGAGATACATTAAAAGTATTTAGAACAATGCCTGAAAATATTTATTATTGGTAAAACAAAAATAAAAGTAGCCAACATCTTTAGAGCAGCAGAGATAAATGTTACTCTGTATCTATACCCTTTCTAGCATTACTAGTAGGATGATGGCAGAAGGTGTACTTATATGTTCCTTTTCACCTTTATTCTGAACTTCAGTCAAATAATAGAACTGTAGATTCAGAAAGTGCTTAGAGTATACCACAAGGTTCTAAAATACTCCCTAACATAACTAAGAAAGTATTAGTTTTAGATGAATCCACAGTAGCTACTTTAAAGGTGCTAAAATAAGTGTTTAACAGCATAGGTTTTGGAGACAAACACATCCAGAGGTTCAAATCTGATTCCGCCACTTACTAATAATAGTATATATAGTCATATAGTTCTTCGAACTTCAGTACCCTTCCCTGGAAGACAGTGATAATGTTTACTTCTCTGATTAAACATGAGATAATCTATTATACAACCTAATACAACAACTTGGCATCTAGTAGACTCAAGTTAGCTCCCTTATCACTTTTATTTATTTATTTATTTATTTTTGAGACAGAGCCTCAAGCTGTCTCCCTGGGTAGAGTGCCGTGGCATCACAGCACAGCAACCTCTAACCTTATCACTTTTAGACAAGGAGTGTTAAAAAATGAAATGTCACCATGGAATATTCCAATTTCAAAATGCTTAGAGATAGCAGAGACCTCAGGATTTTAAACTGTGAATTAATCTATATAAGTAGTTCCAGGTGGAAAAACAAATGGGTATAAAAAATCTGCCTAGACAACTTTGAAATATTTTGACTTCTTCTTAAGGAGAAGAGAAAATAGAAAAATTAGCTATGCCAATGGTATACTGTTCAAGAGCTAAATGGTAACAGTGCTATGCAAAAAGATTATGAACAAAAAAAAAAAAAAGCTCTTTTAACTGACCTTTGCATAACAGTTTCTCTTAGGTCAGTCGATGATCTCTGTAAACACACCAACAGATGCCCATGGCATGCTGAATACTTAGGGCTTGTGGGCTATTCTCTATTATATTCAGCCATTTTTGTTTCTACAGATGAGTGGTATTTTTAACCAAACCACTATGTTTGTCTCCAAACCTCTTTGTATCAGTTTTACCTGTTAGTGTAATTTACAGAATTGAATAAAACAGATGAAATACAAAAAGAGGGTTGAAAACTCTTTTTCTATGCAAACTGAAGTGCCTGGGAAAGTTTAAATAAAGATAAGTTGTTAAAAAGTGCTGTCAAATTAGGCATGAACAACACACATGTAAAAAGACTGGTGGAAAAACCACATAAAAATCTAACAAGTTTCTGTTTTCATACTGTTTCAAAATGTCTACAAACTTATTTTGCTTAAAGAAGACTAAAGTGGATATTATACTGGATATGTTAAGGTGTAATTATCCAAGATAGAAAAATGTACAACTCAAGAATCAGTGAATCTACATGTAAATAAAAGTTTTAGCTGGGGGTGGGGGGGGCGTGCCTGTGGCTCAAGGAGTAGGGCTCTAGCCCCATATACTGGGGGTGGCAGGTTCGAGCCCGGCCCCAGCCAAAACTGCAAAGAAAAAAAAAAAAGTTTTAGCTGTATAAAAGATGACTGTCAGATAAATAGATTTTCTTTAGGTTAAAATAAAATACTTAAGGTACATAGGTACTGTGTTTTAGGATTATGTGCAGTCCTTGAATTAACAAACATCTGACTAATGTATAACTTATACTTACAAACAGAGGCTACTATGGGTAATAGGCAAATGTACCTGTTCTAACTTACATACAAATTCAACTTAAGAACAAACCTACAGAACCTATCTTGTTCATAACCCAAAGACTGCCTGTATCTACTTTGGTCTTTATGATCATTTGGTTTCAACCTTTTTAAAGTGGCTAATAACTCTACTACAGTTAAATGTCTACAGAAGTATGGTCTGAACATGTGGCTTGCCAGGTGAGGTGGCTCATGCCTGCAATCCTCCCTGAGGTGGGAGGATAGCTTGAGGCCAGGAGTTGGAAATCAGCCTGGGCAACACAGAGATCCTATATCTACAAAAAAAAAAAGTAGAAAAATTAGCTGGGTGTGCCAGAGTGAGCCTGTACTTCCTGCTACTCAAAAGACTGAGACAGGAGGCTGCAGTGAGCTATGATGACACCACTGTACTCTAGCCCTGATGATAGAGACCCTGTCTTAAAAAAAAAAACCCAAAAATCCATGTGTGGTTTATAATAACAACTCCTATAAGTCATGTATAGACTACCACAGACTATCAAATATTCTGGGTTAAGAAAACACTATAATAGGTTCATAATATCTAACAAAAGAAGTCTCTCCACCAAAGAGCAAGATAGAAGTTTCCACTGCTATGATCTCATCAGGAGACTATGTATGATTTCAACATAAACTTAAAATAGATGTTTCCAATGGAGACAGACACAGTATGAGTAGACAATACTGTTAATATCTTAAAACACTGATGGACCAAATCAAATAACCACCAAAACTATTGATAAAAATCAATAAACTTCTATAAAATTTTAGGTCAAAGAGACTCCTAAATTTATTATAAATAAATAAAAATCACTCTAACTCTTTTAATGATGGTGATAGAAACAGTACTTTAGTAATCAATTCTACATTACAAATATATAATTACTATACAATTTTAAGTGTAGGCAGGGATAGAAGAAAAAGGAAATAGTAATATACTGTCCATTAGTATAGAGGCTTTAAGACCTTTTCTCAATATATAAATATAAAAAAAAAGCCCTGCTCACTAGTTCTCTGTAAAACACAGCTCCTAAGCCACTACCTATTCTAATATTATCATCTTTTTTCTTTTCTTTTTTTTTTTATATAACAGGGCCTCACTCTGCCACCTGGGCTACAGTATGGTGGTATCATTTTAACTCACTGCAACCTCAGACTTCTGGGCTCAAGCCGTCCTCCTATCTCAGCCTCCCTAGTAGCTAGGACTACAGGCACATTAACACCAGGTCCAGCTGATTTTTCTATTTTTTGTAGAGAAAGGGTCTTGCTTGCTTAGGTTGGCCTTGGACTGCTGGCCTCAAGCAATCCTCCTGCCTCTACCTCCCAAAGTGCTAGGATTACAGGGATGAGTAATCTTGTCTGGCCTAATCCTGTCATTTCATAGTTGAGGAGACAAAGTGCCAGAAATGAAACTTGTCTAAGGCCACACATAAGATTGAGGCACAGCCAATTTCAGCACTAATATTCTCAACTACTCAAATGTAAAGCAGAGTTTCTGAATTGTTCTAACAACTTAAAATAGTACATTTAAGGGAAATGTAACAGCCTACAACTCAATGACAAAAACCAGACAATTCAATTACATTTAAAAAAGGCATTTGAGGGTGGTGCCTGTGGCTCTAGGAGTAGAGCGAGTTCAAACCTGGCCTCAGTCAAAATCTGCAAAAAAAAAAAAAGGCATTTGAATAGACATTTTTCAAAGGAGATATACAAATGACCATTCAGTATATGAAAAGATGTTCAACCTGACTAATCATTTGGGAAATGTAAATCAAAACCCAAATGAGACAGCTAACATCCATTAGAATGTTTATTGTAAAAGCAAACCTCAAAACACCTTCCACCTCCCCATCAAAGTAAAAAGTGTGATGAGGATGTGGAGAAACTAAAACCCTTATGAATTGCTGGTGGAAACGTAAAATGATGCAGTTGCTGAGGAAAACAGTATGGCAGTGCCTCAAAATATTAAATGGGATTATCATATAATCCAGCAATTCTACTTCTGAGTATATACCTGAAATAATTAAAAGTAGATACTTAAACAGCAGCATTATTCATAACAGCAAAAACACAGAAGCAACCCAAGTGTCCAATGAATGGATGGATGAACATAATGTGGTATATACAATGTTACTTGGCCTTAAAAAGGAAGGAAATTCTGACAAACGCAACAACACAGGATCTACCTTGAGAATATTATGCTAAATGAAATAAACCGACTATAAGAAGACAATGTTATGATTCCACTTACATAAGGTACCTAGAGTAGTCAACTTCAGAAAGATAGAAAAGTAGAATGATAGTTGCCAGGGTGTAGGAGGAGGGGGGAAGGAAGAGTTGCATAATGTGTACAGAGAAATAGTGTTGTAAGATGAAAAGAGTTTTGGAGATCGGTTACCAACAATCTGAATGTACTTCATGATACTGACCTCTACACTTAATCACCTGGAACACTTATTAAAACACAACCTGGGACGGCGCCTGTGGCTCAAAGGAGTAAGATGCCAGCCCCATATGCCGGAGGTGGTGGGTTCAAACCCAGCCCTGGCCCAAAACTGCAAAAAAAAAAAAAAAAAAAAAAAAAAAAATACAACCTGCTGGGTTCCACACCCAGAATTTCAGATTTAGTAGGTCTGTGACAGGCCTTAAGACATTTCTAACGAGTTCTCAGATAATGCCACTGCAGGTCCAGGGAGTAAAGACAGACACCTTGAGAAGCAAAGCTGCTTTTTCAACATAAAATCAATGATTTGCCAATAGCCACATATATTTCTTTTCAGCTAAATGAGAACTTTAGGAAAGGAAACTCTGGGGAAGGATGAAAGTACTGGGCCTAGATCCAGAAGTCCTAGATTCTGTCATTCACTAGACACTAATAGTTGGATAAATCCATTACTTTTTGAGATTTTCCTCAATTATATTTAGTGTCAGAACCTTCCATTCTCATATTAAATAAATAATAACAATTAATTTGAGGGTTTAACTTACTATTATTTTACTTAGTCATATAGTTTTGGAATGAAATTTTATATCCTTATGGTGGATACTTCTAAGTTGTTGACTAGCAAATACATTCCTAGAAGGCCCCTCAACTATAGAGTTCAGAAAAACTAAAGTAGGTAATGTGTTTTATGTAGCAAAAATGATACCTCTGAGAATATTTACCATGAAATGATTTAGAGGCATACCAAGACTACTTTAAAGTACATCCTCCATAAAAAGTTACTTCAAATTAGTACGTCCCATTAGGATATTTTTCTCCACAGTTTTTGCAAAAACTCAGTGACTTACCCATTTCATAAGTGGAGCCCAGAAAAAAACTGTTCGGGGGCCTGAAAAAAATAAAGAAAGAAAAATTCAGGAACAAAATATTTTATACATATCCTTTAACAGCCATCTTCATATTTAAAAGACCCAAACATTTATCAATTTATTTCTAACCATTTAAACTATGCTTTCTGTATTCTTTGTATTTAACATTTAGAAAGACACCATAGTACTGTTTTTCAAGTTGACTCTTGAACAACATGAGTCTGAACTGCTAAGGCCCACTTACAAGTGGATTCTTTTCAAAAAATATATTAGAAAACATTTTAGGCTCGGCACCTATAGCTCAACCGGCTAAGGCGCCAGCCACGTACACCTAAGGTGGCAGGTTCGAATCCCCAGCCCGGACCTGCCAAACAACAATGACGGCTGCAACCAAAAAATGGCCGGGCGTTGTGGCGGGCGCCTGTGGTCCCAGCTACTTGGGAGGCGGAGGCAGGAGACTCGCTTGAGCCCAGGAGTTGGAGGTTGCTGTGAGCTGTAATGCCACGGCACTCTACCCAGGGGGACAGCTTGAGGCTCTCCCTAAAAAAAAAAAAAAAAAAAAAAAAAAACATTTTAGAGATTTGTGACAGTTTGAAAAAACTCACAGATGAACTGCATGGCATAGAAAATCAAGAAAAAGTTAGGTATGTCATGAGTGCATAAAATTTAGGTAGATACTATTCTATTTTATCATTTCCTACCATGAGATAAACACTAATGTATTATAAAAAGTAAAAATTCTTATGCATACATTTATAGACCATACATGTTGCCATTCACTGTTGAATCATAAATGCATAAAATTTACAGTAGTCCATAGTACACTACTGTAGTAACTTCATAGCTACCTCCTCTATTACCAAAGCTCAACTGTTGCAAATATCCACTTAAAACATGTCGGACTCTAATCATCTCAGCATGAGCAGTTTGTCTCGCCAGCAAAACTGTATATTGCAGTAAAAAGTGATCCATCATCTTTTTTGTGTATTTTACATCATGTTTAGTGCAATGCTGTAAACTTTGAATAACACCCTGGGACTCATATGAAACGTCACCAGTTATGTTGAAAAGTGCACCTCCAAAGTAGAGAAAAGTCATGACATCACATGAATTGCTTGATATGCACTATACGTTGAGATCTGCAGCTGCAGATGCCTAACATTTTGGATAGACCAATTCATCTTGTATATAGATGATGTAAACTTACAATATCAATAAATACAATACAAAATTGCAAATGTATTTTTTCTTCCTTATGGTTTTCTTTCTTTCCTTTCTTCCCTTCCTTCTTTCCTACCTTTTTGCTTTCTTGCTTTTCCCCTTCCCTTCCTTTCTTCCTCCCTTCCTTCCTCCTCTTCCTCTCATTTCCCTTCCTTCCTTCCCTCCCTTCTTCCTTTCTTTCAAGACAGAGTCTCACTCTATCACCCCATGTAGAGTATCATAGTGTCATAGCTCACAGGAACCTCAAACTCCTAGGCTCAAGCAATCCTCTTGCCTCAGCTTCCTGAGTAGCTGAGACTACAGGTGCCCACCACCATACCTGGCTAATTTTTATTTATTTTTTCATTCTTTATTAACTCCTAACTATGTGCATTAATGCATTTATGGAGTACACTGTGCTGATTTGATATACAATGTGGAATGCTTACATCTAATGGATTAACCTAACCGTCTCCTTGCTTACTTATTTTGGTCTCACTGTTGCTCAGGCTGGTGTGGAACTCCTGAGCTCAAGCAATCCACCTGTCCCAGCCTCCCAGAGTGCTAAAGTTACAGGCATGAGCCACTGCGCCCTGCCCCTTATGGTTTTCTTAATAACATTTTCTTTTCTTTAGCTTCCTTTATTGTAAATATAGTATATGATACATATATAAAATATGTGTTAATCGCTGGGTTATGTTACCAGGCATCTGGTCAACAGTAGGTTATTAGTAAAATGTTTTGGGAGTTGAAAGTTATACTGGGATATTTGACTGCATGGGGGTCAGGGCCCTAACTCTCAAGTCATTCAAGGGTCAACCTGTATTAATCTTTCACACAAGTTGTTATGATGTTCTTGTCAATTATTTGTATTTTTGTAACATTTTAAAAATTACAGTATAATGGAAATGATTTTGGAAACTATTCCCAATGCTTTGCCTTAAAAGTGGAATTTCAAGTTAGTTCAGTCACAGATAATGAAGTCAAAGAAAATGCAAATTATGGAATGTTACTGATATGAGAACTTCAGTGGATATGTGCTTATTTGCTAATTTTGTTAATATTTGTAGCTACAAATGACACTTCACCATAATATTCTAGTAAAGGTTCTTATAAAAATTTTACATATTCTAGTAAAAAAAATTAATGAATTTAACTTTAAAGCTAGGAGAAAGAAGAAAGACTAGATTTGCAAGTTTCTTAACAGCAGAGAACTCATTTTAGTCATCCTGGTACCCATCTGCCTTGTGTTAAATGTTAAACAAACATTTGAAATATTGAAAACAATTCTGATTTCCTAAATAACTGAGAATTCGAGAAGCATTATGTTTCAGAGCTAGAAGGAAACTTAAGAGATCCAAATCCAAATCCTTCATTTTATCAATGAAGCTTTATGACCTATTCAAGCAATATGGCTAGAAGGCAGCAGATTGTGGCTGGAACGTAAATTTTCTAATTCTTAAACTAGTGACCTTAAAGGGATACAGTGAGAGGAAAGAGACTTTGTCCAGGCAAATTAAAAATGTAATTAAGCATGCTAAATTCAACAGAGCACTTAGTATGTTGTTTATGCTGTTACACACTGGCTTAACAAAATACAATTATTTCATAACACACAAATTAAGTAACTTTATGTAAGACAACAGTGATATATAAGCAAATTCAAAAAGTTTAAAATCCTATTATATTCATTGTTGCCTTAATATTCCACTTTTCTTTGCAAGAATAATACTTTGTGTGTCATAAAAATTACATCTAAAGTCACCAAAGTGTAACACATTTTCCTTCTTTTCACCTCCCAATTATAGGCGAGTATTCACTCTCATTAATAACAAGGAATATTTCTGTTCACATATGGTTACCTAACACTGAGTTAAATCTATTATTTAGAAAGGTAAAATTGAGTTAAATCTATTATTAGAAACAAAACAAAAGGGTGGTGCCTGTGGCTCAGTGGGTAGGGCACCAGCCCCACATATGGACGGTGGCAGGTTTGAACCTGGCCTCAGCTAACCTGCAACAAAAATATAGCCGGATGTTGTGGCAGGCGCCTGTAGACCCAGCCACTTGGGAGGCTGAGGCAAGAGAATTGTGTAAGCCCAGGAGTTGGAGGTTGCTGTGAGCTGTGACGTTACAGCACTCTACCAAGGATGATAAAAAGTGAGGTAGTCTCTAAAAAAAAAAGAAAGATAGCAAAGTAGAAAAGTAGAAAAAGCACTAAATAGGTTAAGAGTGAGTTGCACTTTTGGTCTAGTTTGCTATAGTCAAGACCGTCACTCTCTCATTCACCTATAATAATTACTGCATACTTTTACAGTGTACCAGGTACTGGGGACATGTTGGCAAATAAAACACAGGGTTGGGTTTTAACGACCTAACAATAAAAAAGCTGTTTAGGTAAAATCGTATCTGGAAGGTATATAAAAGCATTTTAGGAAAAATTAATTCTCAAGTACTTTCATCAAAGCCATATGAGTTCTACATTTTGGTAATATTCTTACTGTAAATGAAAATGAACCCAGTAATAATACTCCTTTTTTGTTCATTTGGCTGAAATACTGAATTTGGCTGAATTATTTTCATGTTTTTCTGTGCACCTTCAAAAGTAGCTGATTAATCTTACAGCAGAATAATTTGAAAAATGTTACAATGGCAGGTGTATCCTCCATCACTTTTGCTTATTAAGCTCTTCTAGGAAAGTATCACACACAGTGTAAACAGCTCCTAGCCTTTAGCATCAAATGATAGCAAATGTTACATACTGGACTATTCTTCTACAATTTAATGTAATCCTTGATATATTTTACTCCTCTCAAACTAATTCACATTCTTCTTCAGCAAAATTCATTATGTTAATGTGATTTTAATACAATGTGATTTTAAACCTACCACAGTACAATTTAAAAATTCTACTATAGTTAGTTATATATACTTACTTATCAAGATCACAACTTCCTTGAGGTTAGCAGCTAAATATTATTCATACTTGTACCCCTACTACCTAATAGAATGTTAACTAAAAAAGGCAAGTTTGGGGTGGTGCCCATAGCTCAGTGAGTAGGGTGCTGTACACACACCCTGGGGCTGGCGGGTTCAAACCCAGCCTGGACCAGCTAAACAACAATGACAACTACAATAACAACAACAAAAAAAATAGCCAGGTGTTGTGGTAGGGACCTGTAGTCCCAGCTACTTGGGAGGCTGAGGCAAGAGAATCACTTAAGCCCAAGAATTTGAGGTTGCTGTGAGCTGTGATGCCATGGCACTCTACCCAGGGCAACAGCTTGAGACTCTGTCTCAAAAAAAAAAAGAAAACCCCAGCTGGGTGTCCTGGCAGCACAGTGTAGTCCCAGCTACTCAGGAGGCTGAGGCAAGAGAATCTCTTGAGCCCATGAGTTTGAGGTTGCTGTGAGCTGTGATGATGCACGGCACTCAAACCCAGGGCAACAGAGTGAGACTCTGTCTCAAAAAAAAAAAGGCAAGTTAGCTAATACCATTGGAAATAGTTTATAATAATTGGAGTATATTACACTGTTACATGTGTGTATATATACACATATGCAAATAACTTTTAAAATACTTTAAAATCATAAGTCATTTGATTTCGAACAACTTTTTCTGGTTTGATTTTAAAATTAGCCTGCTTCTTAAATATTGTTTTTTTGTTTGTTTGTTTTGCAGTTTTGGCCAGGTCAAGCTTGAATCTGCCACCCCCGCTATATGGGGCTAGAGTCCTACTCCCTGAGCCATAGGCACTGCCTCTTTTTAAATATTGATTGATAAGTCTGGCTTATACTTTTAAGAGTTTTTAAGTATGTTT